GGGGGGGGGGGGGGAGGGTTGGGGTTGGTCGGGGGTAGCACGTTATAGAGAGTCCGGCATGGGGAGTAGCTGTAATACAAATGGTAGCCTGCTGACTGGCATAAGTACGATAGATGTCAAGAGTGCCGTCATAGAAAGAAGGGCGAAGCACAACAAGGAACAAGGGAGGAGAAGAGGAAGGAAAGGGTTATCTGTCTGTTTTGGGGTGACATTGTCATCCAGTCACGTTTTTATACTGCCGCGCACCTGTTGAAGACCGCCCATGAGTTACTCCAGCTCGTCGGGACGAGTGTGAGGATGGGAAACTGTGTTAGTTTTTTTTTTACATCCTGTCCAATTTCTCAGGTTGCGTGAGTTCTCCCCACTCCATACCTATACAGAACACCATATCATAGATTAGCAGAGCCATGCTCGTTTGATCAAAGTGGCTTACCAAAAGCCTGTAATTAATACGCACACGAAAGCAGTTATCGAAATAGTCTCGAAAGGATCTCAATAATGAAAATACGAGTGGTTACAGGCATGGCAGGTTTAAGCCAGGCTCGTGGCCGTCATCGCCGCAAGTTGTGAACCGCCATAGGTTGGGCTTCCCGCCAACCTGCTGAGGATGTGCAGGGCTTGCATACCTATGTACCAGGGTTTAGTACTATGCGGGTACTGGTCACACCGAGAGGGACATGTACGGTACATACCCCGCCCGAGATGTACATAGTAAGATAGAGGTAGGTAGGTAGGTACCTTATGGGGGCGGCCCAGGCTGCGGAAACTTGAGGCCACGTGCCTGCAAAAAACAGCAGTCCAAATCACGGCACATATTATCTAGGTGGAATACCTGTGTATGACGGACGCCCTGTCAGGAAGGCGTCGGGATCTTACTAACATGTTCCCAAAGAGCGGGCAAGTAGATTACCACTTCGAAACCATGTTCTCAACTGCGAAAAACGGGGGCAGGTTCTGAGGTTGGTTGCTGTTGAAAGGGCGCGCCGGTGCGGGTTCTTCTCTAACCGGCATTCATAGATCCTTTGAATGAACACCGAACTTTTGGTATACCCCGCTTTTTTAGAGAAAAAAAAGTGCACAAAGATTCGGCTACCCATTTGAATTATCTGATTTCCCAGAAGCAGGTCAGTGTGGTAAGGGATAGTAGCTTCCGAAGTTAGCCCCTATTCCGGCTCCTTCCCCAACACCAACATCTCGATACTTGCCCACCCAGTTGGCCGTCAATATAACCACAACTTTGGGCTTCAACTGACACATACGACCATAGGCACTAGAAAATACGGGATCCCGTCCGCTCTCCCCTAGTCAAACTGGTGACCGCTAGATTAGTTGTTAAGTCGGTAACCAGCGAATCCTGGTGTTGTCTGTTCTTTTTTGGAGACTAAAAGTCTCTCATTCCGACTTTTTGGCGTCCCACGCGCTTAGCGGGTCTTTCCGGCCCGTCGCGGCGGCGCAGTGGCGCAGTAGCCCCACTGTGGGACACGGCGCATCGATCCGATCTGGGGTCTTTCGGACTGACCTACTGACATGATAGGGAACCACATCTGATCTTTTCGGGAACTGCGACAGCAACAAGCGCGGGACGGGGCGCGCCGCATCGGGCCCACAACCTCCAAAGAGGGGAGCAAGGTGGAAAAGGCATACTTGCTCCTTCGTTGGTTGCTCCACTCGCGGGCCTTGGTACATAGGATCAAGATCACAAGACTGAGTTACTGATGTTCCCGATATGTCCGTGGTGCGGGCTTCACAGTTACCGTTAGAAGACTTTGCACCGTTTGTCTCGCAAATGCAGAGGAAGTACGGAGTTGCTCTCCTGCCATTCGTCAATAGCACCGCCACAGGTCTCTTTTGGACGGCCGACCGCTAAACAGGCCAGCCTCACCGTATCTTTCAGCTCCGCCCCGCAATAACCGCGCGAAATGCAGCTATTGACTTCACATTGTTTTACCGTTGCATAGTATCTCTTCTTTCTCGACAAGAATCCTCATCGGAACCATGTCTGCTGAATACAAGCCGAAATCGCGGAAGAAGTGGTGGAAGGAGCTCTGCGGGGGTCTTCGTGCAGCCTCGCCGGCTCCGTCTGCCACGCCGTTGACAGGTATGTTGAGACTCTGTCTCGCATCGCAAGGCTTCTCGTAACTGACATTCTCCGGCAGACAACCCGTCATCCGATCAGGGAAATTCAGAACACGGATCGAAAGCGCCTTCCATTGTCGCGACAGGGTCGTGTGCTCCTCCTCACCCGTCTGCCGCAGCGGCGAAGGCCGCCCAACCCCGCACAGATGCGAGAGTCCCCAACGATCACCAACCACCCGCGGCATCGCAAGCACTGCCTCCTGCTCTGTCCGCCGAACCCGCACCCAAACCATCGCCGACCGAATCCACGGAGCAACCGACCCCTGTACTTCCCGTGTCCGAGAGACTGTGGAATGCCGCGTACGACAGCCTTGAGACGGACAATGTAGCGCTTGTGAAGTCATACCTGAAAACGTTAAAAACAGTTCTCGACAAATCAGATGTTACCCCTGACACCGACATCTCGGCCGAGTTCCATGACCCGACCAAACGACAGATGCATATGAGGAGGCTGGTGGAGGAAGGCCGGGCGAACATTTCCAGAGCGTCCAAGATTACGACCGGAGTAGGCGACGGCGTCGATATCGTCCTGTCGTTCAAGGGAATAATTGACCTGGCTGTCCAAAGCGTGCCACAGGCTGCGCTTCCGTGGGCCGGTGTTTACGTTGGGCTGCAGGTAAGCAGGCATCCTTCGAATACCCCTTTGTGCTTGGCTCTGCTGATATGCCTCCAGATGCTCCGGAATCCTGCGCAAGCGACGAAATCCAACCTCGCTGGTATCGCCCATGTCATCTCCAGAATGGACTGGTACTGTGCCCTCACCGAACATCTCCTGAACAAGGACAATATTACCGCTGGTAAGGACTTCCAAGCCATCTTGCGCCAGCTGGAAAAGGAGATTATCGAGCTCTATAAAGCTCTTTTCCTGTACCAGATGAAGAGTGTTTGTTCTTACTATCGCAACCAAGGTCTCGTCTTTCTTCGCGGGATGCTGAATTTGGATGATTGGGACGGCGATCTGAAAAGCGTTACAGACGCAGAAGCCATCGTCCAAAACGATACCGCCCAGTTTTTCCAAGGACAGACGAGGACTTTCCTAGGGGATCTCGTCAGTTGCGCTAAGGGGATGGAAGCACAGCTCGGCGACGTCCATCAGACCCTTCAAGACTTCATCTCGCTACAGAAGGACGCCCGTAGGGATGATATCGAGGCAGCGTGCCGCAGAGATCTCCGCGTCGTCGATCCGCAACACGACATGGAGCGGATCGAGAAGAGTAAGGATGAGCTGCTGGATGACGCGTTTAAATGGATCCTTCGTACCCCGGAGTATATAGCGTTCACAAACTGGGACGATAGCGGATCCGATCGCCCGCCACGTCGATTGCTCTGGATAAAAGGACACGCTGGCACGGGAAAGACGATGCTCATGATCGGCCTCATTCGCCAACTCTCGCATCAACCCGTTGCCCTATCACCAGCACTTTCTTTCTTCTTCTGCCAAGGCACAGACACAGCCTTGAACAACGCCACCGCCGTCCTCAGGTCTTTGATCTGGCTTCTTCTTCTTCAACAGCCACGCCTCATATCCCATCTACTTCAGAAGTATAAAGAGTCAGGCGCCGATCTCTTCAGGGAACAAAATGCCTTCATCGCCCTGTCCGAAGCGTTTCGGAATATGTTGAAGGATCCTAAGTTATTGCCTGTGTACCTCGCGGTCGACGCACTTGACGAGTGCGTGCAGGGGCGATCGGACGTCATCGATCTCATTTCGACTTCCCTCAACCTCTCCCAGAAGGTGAGATGGCTACTCTCTAGCCGTCCAGAAGTTGACCTTCTCGCTGGACTCAAGGAACAGAGCGTTAACTCCTTCAACCCTTCCAGCTCCCTCGTCGAGTTAGATACTCAGCGTCTGGAAGAGCCTGTCAATGCATACATCAACCACAAGCTTATGGAGCTCAAGTACAGGGAAGGATACGACGACCACGTTTTGGCTGAGATCTCTCATGAAGTCCGGCAACGAGCAGAGAACACGTTCCTCTGGGTAGCTCTCGTGTTCAAGGAACTCAGTTCAGTGGAGGGCTGGGACGCTGTCGAGACCGTCCAGAGCATCCCTTCGGGCTTGACAGATTTGTATAGTCATATGATGGCCAGGATTGATGAAGGGAGCGAGCGAAACCGGCAACGCTGCAAGAATGTACTCGCGGCTACATTCCTTGTGCGTCGCCCTCTGTCACTCTCGGAGCTTATTGTAGTTGCAGGTTTACCGGCGAAGATTAATCCCCGGGCAATTGTGGATCGATGCGGCTCATTTCTAACAGTTAAGGACGAAACGGTCTACCTAATCCATCAGTCCGCGAAGGACTATCTGGGCGATAATTACGCGACTAGACTTCAACCAGCTGGGCCCGCTCAAGGGTGCAGCGAGATTGTCAGACGCTCGATTGATGCGATGTCCTCAATGCTAAGACGCAACATATACGACCTCGACCCCAGCTTCAATCCAGAGAATATAGCGCCCCCTGACCCAGATCCGCTAGCTCCAATACGATACTCTTGTATATTCTGGGCCGACCATCTCTGCTCCCTGAGCAGCGATAACTCCAGGTTTCTAGGAGAATTGACAGACGACGGGAAGGTGTTTGGATTCCTGAAGGAATGCTTCCTCCGCTGGCTTGAGAGCTTGTCTATTATAGGGCAACTTTCTAGTGGGCTACTCTCAATAAGAAAGATTCTGCATGCCGTTCAGGTATGTTGTCAATGCCGTATTATTGTCAGGTCACTAATCCAGTCAGTCACAACCGGAGATCAACCCTTACCTTATTGAGCTGTTAAGAGACGCAGAGAAGTTTGTGTTTAGTCACAGACCAATCATAGAACGGGCGCCCTTACAGATATACGGCTCCGCGCTCGTATTCAGCCCAACTTTGAGCGAGGTTAGAAAGCGGTATTGGAAGGAAAGGTTGTCTTTTATCGAAATGGCCGCTGGCATTAGAGACGACTGGGGCGCACACCGGCAGACGCTCGAGGGGCATAACGGCTGGGTCAGGGCAGTAGCGTTCTCGCCGGACGGCAATACGCTCGCGTCGGCTTCGGGCGATCAGACGATCCG